AAAAAGAAATAAAACCCACTACAAAAGGAATAAGCCATTTGAACATTATGTTCTAAACTCAAATCAAATAGCGCGCGCTTTCGCGACTTCCTGTTGCACACTTTCGTCCCATTTCACGAAATCACTCCCACAAATTGCAGAAAAACGAGAGGAAAGATGTACTTAATAGAAATTATGTTACTTTACCCCAGCATCACCCTTATTGTAACCCGTTTTTCATGGAACATCCCAGCTGCACTAAAAGTCTGTAGGAAAACATCGCTGTCCGAAGACCACAAATAAGATAATTTGACTATTAAAACTGTATTTTTATACAAAAACAAATCTGTGTTAGATAAGCTAATGGCAGTATATTAAGATGAGCTGTATATAAAGGGCCTGTTAAGGCGTATCTGCCTTCTAATCATTTCAAAATGGCGTATAAGACAGTATTTTACTTCATTGTTGCAGTCAACATATTATTATTTCTGTCTCTAACTCAAGGTAAGATTTTAGTATAGTTGATCTTTATAGTTATGATTTTTATTATTTGGAGCGTGTAACTGCTCGATGTTTAAATCTAAAGAAAATATTACTAGAAAAAAATTCACACGGACCAGGCAGCAGACGGGACTCGAACCCGCATCTTTCGCTATCCGGGCGAATGCACTGATCATTAGGGGCCGGGGTAGCATGGAAAGTGACTTCATGGGTTATCTCATATTGAACTCATTTTTCAAATTGACGACTCTGTATATAATACAGGGAGAAAAAAACAGCCCTTGCTGAGTTTCTTGCCGGTTCTTCTCAGTACAAGGTCTCCCGCCGTAGATTTGCGAACCGATGGCGTAGCTTTTCGACATTCACAAGTGCTTGTAACAGCCTAGACTGAATAAACGATATAGAATTTTGAATTTTTTGAATTTTTTGACCAGTGCATTCGCCCGGATAGCAAAGGGTGCGGGTTCGAGTCCCGTCTGCTGCCTGGTCCGCGTGGTATTTTTTCTAGTTATATTTTATTTAAATTTAAACATCAAGCAGTTACATGCCTAAAAAATAAAAATTATAAAGAAAAAGATGTTCTTCCTCAGAAAAATCGGAGGGTTTTTTTTGTCAAAGAGTCATTGTGTGTGTCGTACACACACATGGCAGTATGTGTAGGTGACGATTAATTTATTAAGTATTTCTGTCTAATGCATTTAAAATAAATAAGTATAAGAATACTGTACTCCTTCTCCGTTTAAACTTATAAACCTTTAATAAGCAAAACTTCACTCTCTTCTAAAATAATGTTGTCACTCGCTCTCTGTATGTCAAAAATGAAACCTATCTGTGCCTGTGGCAATATTGAATATGGATTACTCCAACCCATCAAGATATCCTTCCTTCTTCCAAATAGGGCTACTATTTAAAAATTGAAAAGTCCTGACAAAAAGTCCGGACATTTTAGTCACAAAATGCAAAGATCACCCACATATTTACAGTGATATTATACGCGTGGTAGCAGACGTTCGCATCGCACGGGGGGTCTCGTTGTTGATTTTTAAGGATGATTTATATTTTGCTTTAAATTAATGAGAGCTTAATAAATATTATTTGACTTATTGATATAACTTAATAAGTTGTTTTACTCATATTAAATCTATTATAAAAAAAACCGGACAAAATAAAAAGTCGGACAAAAGTCAAAAAGTCCGGACATGTCCGGACACAAACATGCGGACGGATGGTAACCCTAATTCCGAACTGAGATCTTAAAATAAGGCTCAGAGAAGTACCTAAATAGTGTCAAGGTGATTCAGTTTAAGAAAAGTGACACAAGAATCATTACAATATCAAGCAAATTTTTACTAGATAAAATTCTAGCCTCGAATCCGCAACCTCCGCTATCCTAGCGGATGCACTGAACATTATGCTACCGTGTAATTAGGACTGCGGTCCCGTGATGCCAGGGGGCCATTCGCCTAACAGAAATGCTTTGGAAAACGCTAACGCTTTCGATTTTATTTTGTTATTTCTGACCACCGAAGGTTTTCAAATAGGTACCTCACGCTCATTTTTTTTAATATTGTTATTACCAAAGCAAAAGAAAAAAAAAGAGCGCAAGGCATTTGAAAACCTCAGGCGGCTAGAAATAACAAAATGAAATCGTAAGCGTTAGCGTTTTCCAAACCATTTCCGTTAGGCGAATGGCCCCCTGGTCCGCGTGGATTTTTTCTAGTAAAGTATATAACGACAATCTTTTGTTTATAAACATACCTAGGTAACTACACTTATGAACACTGTAATTTTAAAATAGAATTAGATTTTAACGTTGTCCACGCTAATTAGCGAAGGTGGCAGCTTTAATTTCTTTCTATTAAGACAATGGTGTCGATTCTGGCTGGTTCAGTCTGTTCTTTTCATTCTGTATAGAGAATGACAAAGATACTCTGTTGTCAAATTTAAATTTAGCTTTAGAGAATTATGCCAGAATCGACATCATTGGCCGGTTTTTCATGTTTTTAATGCATTCATATTCTCTATTTCAGCTACAAGCGACTGTGAATTACCCAAAGACATTGGGACATGTGACAAAAAATACCGTAGGTAAGCTGTTAAACTACTTGGTTGTCCTATAAAATTGTTGTATTACGGGCTAGTAAAGAATATTAGCTACAATTGCAACCGTAACCTAAACACAAACCTTGGCAGGAGATAAAGTAGCGCCCACAGAACACAGATTTGAAAGGTGATCATAGACCGTTAGTACGGGAACCGATGTCGCCAGCTCGCCTCCACTACACTTCCATCTAATAGATAATAACCAATCAAACGACGCACCATGAAACAATCAGTGCTCACACCCGAGACCAACACCGTAATCAGAACTAAGTTTTAGTCAAGTTATGAGCATTTGCTCACACATAACTGGCATCCCTGACCCGCCCACAAGGCCCTTCTAACCTTTCTGTTCTGTGGCAGCGCCCTTACCGGACGTAACCATCATCATCATCAGCCTATTAATGTCCCATCGGCACATCCATACAACATCCCACGGCACATACATCCATACAAAACTGATAAATTAGAAGATTCAAGAATTTCATATTTATTCATTAATGATTCATATCCAGGCATTTAAAATTTTGAAGTTAAACGTATTATGAACCAATCTATGAAACACGCTTTTAAGTATTACTAATGACCACAAAAATAAAATAAATTTCTATCTACATTATCTACACATAAGTACATCTTCTTAGCTACTGGTAGGAGGTGCTATTAAAAAATATTAAAACAATGGTGCCAATTCTGGCGTGATTTTCTAAACTTAAAATTAAATTTAAAATCAGTCTCTCCTTTTCATTCTGTATAGAGAATGACAAGGATATACTGCTGTCAAATTTAAGTTTAGGTTTAGAGAATCATGCTAGAATCGACACCAATGCCTGACCATTTAATGTTAGCAAAGTTACTAGTACTAACAGTTGCTCGAATTGCTATAATTAAAATAGAGGCGTTTTATTCTAAATAAACTGCCAGACCCGTCTTTCCCAGTGGGCACTTTGGGCAAGTGCCCAGGGCCCCGTGATCGATAGGTGGGCACCTCAGATCACAAATACAAAGTCCCTAGTTCTTAAAAGCTTTGGAAAACGCCGCCTGAGGTTTTCAAATGCCTGCGCTCTTTTTTTCTTTTGCATTGGTAATAGCAAAATTAAAAAAAAAATGAGCATGAGGTATGTGAAAACCTTCGGCGATCAAAAATAATAAAATAAAATCGAAAACGTTAGCGTTTTCCAAAGCATTTCTGTTAGGCGAATGGCCCCCAGGGCCTCCAATAGGTCAAAGACGGCACTGTGTGCTGCTATGTAGCATAAATATAAATAGAGACAGAACCAAAGACGAACTTAAACTTTTAGCGAAGTCCTGACTTTAATCTTGTTCGAAATCTCTGAAGTAATTTATCAATCCTTGACTTATTAGGGTTCCGTAGTTCCTGATAGTATAGTTTCGTCATGTCCGTCTGTCTGCCCGTCCCCGGTTTTGCTTGGAAACTAGAGTGCTGTAATTTTGTAGAGATATGTATATCAATCATGCCGACAAAATGGTAGAATTAAATTAAATAAAAATTGTTGGGTTAGCTCCCCTGCATGTAACCGGGCAATGATTTTATTTTTTCATCGTCTACCCATCGTGTGGGGTATCGTTGAATAGGTCCTTTAAAATTACTTAGGGGTTTCCTAAGACATTTTTTCGATTTAGTCCCCTATACGAACTAAACTATTCTCTGAAAAAACCTGGAAAATGTCATGATAATAGTGTTCATAAACTTTTAAGGAAAATTATAACGGTTAAAATAGATTTGTTACTTTAAGAACCCTTGTTTAACTTAAAAATACAAATGGTTCCCACGTATAATATTTTGTAATATTACTTGTTTGGGTGTATAAACAATGCTTTGTTTTTCAGTTTTTATTTTGACATGAAGACCCGCCATTGTCGTCCATTTATATGGTCTGGATGTGGAGGAAACGGGAATAAATTCTTCAGTAGAGAAGAATGCAGATTCGCTTGTCATTACTACATGAAACTCAAACCATCTGGATTTTTAGTGAGAAATGGGAATCAATAAATATTATAAAACGAATTGTCTACCGACTTATTATCCTGTTTTTTACTAAATAAATAAATAGGGATAGAAAAATGATTTTGTTTTATTATTTAGGAATCGTCACTTTTTGTATTCCTAAACCTGAAATTGCTTCGTTAAGGAGGTGATAAAAAAAGTTGCTTTATTTTTTGATCAAAAACGCTTTCTAGAAATCTAAACCGCCTTACACAATCACAGCAAAGCAACGAAAATAAAAATATTACAAACTTTTAAGCCGTATGCTTTTAATATCTTTTGCTTTCATTCACAAGAGTCTTAAAAATACACGAGATGACAACTGCCAATGTCAAAATTACTGTCACTGTCAAAAACAGGTGATCGAAATCAGCGACGAGGAAGGAGCTCACGCCTCACGCTCGCGTAGTCCATGCAAATTACTCATTCCAACAGGGATCCCCACCACCACCGAGCAGCTTTCACCATGGTATCCGCTTTACCGCGTCATTACTTTACCGTGCGATGCGGTATGAACGGGTCTACAATTAATTTAACTGTACTTTTGGTAGGCTACGGCGATGTTCGCACGAGTGACATTTTATCCAAGCCTTCTGTACAATGTGGTGATGGAAAGGATTACCAGCAGAAGATGGTACGACAGAATGGATGACACAGTCATACTTGGGGCACTCCCCTTCCAAGGAATGACCAAGCAGGTATACATGTTTTCAGTAAATTGGTGTTCTTGTGATATGCTCTCTTGGTAGGTAATTTCATAAGTGGACTGAAATTTTACAACAAAACTAGTTAATTAACCTGTACTGTTAGTTTAGAAGGAACACAAAACTTTGATACACTTTCTCTTTACAGCTTAAAGAAGAAGAGAATCTGAAAGGAGTTGTATCTATGAATGAAGCATATGAACTCAAGCTATTCTCAAATGATGCAGGAGTAAGTAATGAATTTCTTATAGATAAACACTTAGGAAACCTTTTTACTAATCATTTGAATTGTGTATTTTATTTGTTGATACTTTTAATTGAAACTATTAAGAAAAAAGTTTTACAAGTTGTTTAGAAAAGATTTCTGGCAAATCCTACATGTAATTTATTTACTGCATAGAAACCATTAAGAAATGAGTTTTACAAGTTATTTAAAAAGGTTGCTGGCAGCTTCTTTGTAAACTTTCCTCTTTAGAAACCAGTTGTAGTTGTTGCTGTTTAATGAAACAAATGTACACTGTTCTGTTGTTTTTAAAAAAATCTTAGAACCCTCTCAACAAACAATAGGGCCAATGATCCATTAAAAAAGTCTTATAAAAATGCAGCTGTGAAATTAGTTCACTTTACTCTGAACTGAATGGAAACAAATATCTATTTAAATGGTAATGTAAACATTTTGCCTTACCGATGACACTTATTCAACCTACTTTATATATGCCTCAGTGACCCACATATGTATTAAGTTCATTCAGTCTATATAACAAAAATCAGTTTCAACTATATGCATGTTAATAAATCTTAGAATTTATTGATGTGTAACATCTTTCCTCTCGCTTTCCTGCAATTTGTGGGAGTGATTTCGTGAAATGGGACAAGTGTGTACAAGGAAGTTGCGAAAGCTCGCACTATTTGATTTAATTTTAGAACATAATGCTCTTCTTCTTCCTTTTCTTTTTTTAAAGAACTTTAGGTTTTATTTCTTTGTTTTCTTATATAAGGTGAGATTTTCAAACATTACACTTCCTATGCAACTACTGTAAGGCTCGCTCGTTTTTTTTTTCTAGTTAAAACTAAATATGATGAATAAAAACTGTCTAATGAAATACATTAACTTAAGCTTATGTACCAGTTAATTGCGGAGAATAATAATGATAGATATATTTATAGCTTATTTTAAATTATGAGTTCAATTAATATTATTTAATTAATTTTAAATTATATTATCATTATTTTTGTACATGATCGAATTTTTCCAAGTTATTGCGTTTTTTACTTAATTATAGGGAAATAGTTCAAAGAGATTTAGTTAAAATTATTTTGATCGTTTATTATTGTAAGAATTATTATTTATTTTACTTCTAACTTCTGTAGGTATGCACACTTAGTTGTATTGGTAGGTTTTAAAAGTAAGATAGTAAAACGTAGTTTTTTTGCAGAAATGGCGAGAGCATGGCGTCGAATTTCTGCAGTTAGCGACTACAGACATATTCGAAGCACCTGATCAAGAGAAGTTATTTGAGGGCATTAAATTTATAAACCGGTAAGTGAAAATAGGTATCTTTGTTAGTTGGCAGTTGTGGATTTTTTGCAAAGCCAAAAAATGGGTGGTTTACCCTTTTTTAGCTCTAAAATATTATAAAACTTCTTGGTCTAGGTCCAAGTAGTTTTATACCCTTGATAATAAAAAATAGAATTGGTCTGGTCCAAATTGATATGCATCTGATTGATTGTCTGCTTTATTGATGACTAGGAACCATCAATGGCCATAAATGGACTGAATGTTCCTATTCAACCATAAAGTTAAACGTTAAGTTAGTACGAATTTGAGCTCACGAAAACTGTCATAGTTTTCGTAATTGTAAATTATGTTTCTATGTCCATTTTGGTGAAAAGTAACCAAATATACTTAAAATTTAAGAAAACGCAAATGATTTTATAATATAATTTAAACACTGTTTATTTGTACTGAAACTAAAACAATAAAATCAGTACCCTAAGTACGAGTGCGAGCTCACGAAAACTATCATTTCAAGTCAATTTGAATAAAATGTAATTTCATTTCATGTATGATCAGTGAGTGTAATCAGTTTCATGCATTCTAGAGAGTAATCAATTTCATACATTCTATAGAGTAATCAGTTGTTGCATTCTAGGAAGTAATTAGTTCATGCAGTCTATAGAGTAATCCGTTTAGTGTATTCTAAAGAGCGTCATGCATTCTAGAGCGTAAATAGTTTCATGCAGATATTGTTCATCAGGGGTGCTCAAACTTGAACTGCTGGCGATCTACGAGTACCTCAAAATTTTTAGACTACTTACGATCGACTCTGAGAGGCTGCAAGTATGTGTGATGCAGGGTTGTCGTACATACACGATACACCCCACCTACCTAGGTAGGGTGTAACGTAGCATATCGATCGCGATCGACCGTTTGAGCACCCCTGTTGTACATCATTATGTAATTTTTTTCTCGATGACCGGTTGGAAGGTTTCTGCCAGTCGGTGCGAAGCTGCAGGGCGTGCCTATGGATAACCAGCAAGTTAACAGTGGCTCTGTGTACGTGCACTGTAAGGCGGGCCGCACGCGCAGCGCTACGCTCGTCGGGTGCTACCTTATGATGGTGAGATAACACATAAACACTTTTACTAGGAAAAAATTCACGCGGACCAGTCAGCAGACGGGACTCGAACCTGCACCCTTCGCTATCCGGGTGAATGTACTAACCATTGTTACTGCGGCTCTGATGGTCGTGTCGAATCTTCTCTAGCATTTCTTAGGCTACATGGCAGCGCCATCTCTTCGCATTAGAGGTGTATTCATCTGACACTTTACAAGTATTAAACATTTGAATAAAGAAGTAACAATAATAGTTATATTTTTATTTATGAACAAATTTTGTATGGAATGCTACGATATTAAATACCAGAGGGGCTGTTTATGATGGCGCATTGCGGATTGGCATCGGGACCAACGGCTTAACGTGCATTCTGAAGCATGATAAAGGCGCGAGGAGCTTGAGGAAAAAATATTAAAAGTTACGTTACCCTTCTGGGAATCTGACCTAATGGCTCAATTACACACTTCACTTCACTTGAATTCGGGCAACCGAAGCAATATTTACATTTACACTGTAATACGGGCTGGAAGACGGTATAGGGTAACCAAAACGAAAACTACCCGAATAGGGGTGATGACGGGGTACAGTAAACGAAATTTTTTTTAGTTAGATGATCAAAAAATAATGGACTCGTATTTTTTCTTTGGGCAATCAACCAAAAAATGACAAAGTTATAGTGCGTCAAAGTTTGGGAGTAGGGGCTCGTGACGCCACTTTTAAGTGAAAATTGTACCAAAACGTGACGTCATGCGACTTTTCAAATCAATATATCTCTGCAATGTTCATATTATGTGAAAAAAGAAAAAATACGTGTCTAATACTTTTTGATAATCTACCTAATAAACGAAGAAAAAAAATAGTCATCATCCCTATTCTATTGGCATTCGTTTTCGGGCTAACGACCAAATGTGATCGCGCCAAAAGACCACAGAAGGTTCAAAGATATGATACAACCATAGAGTATGAAATTTTCTTTTTCTAGCTTGAGAGTTTAGATATTCGTCCGAGTGTTGTCGGTCTGTCCGTTTTCTGTCTATGCACGAGACGACGTAATAAACTTCGTTATACTTCTAGGGATCGAACTGGGAACCTCAGAAGTCTTATACTTTGCAAATAAAAAAGATCATTTGAATCTAAAGAAAAGTTTTACTAGAAAAAAATCGACGCGGACCAGGCAGCGGACGGGACTCGAACCCGCATCCTTCGCTATCCGGGCGAATGCACTGACCATTATGCTACCACGGCCCTATTAGCCGCGTCGAAATTTTCCTAGCCTTAAGCTGCAAGGCAGCGCCATCTCCTCGCATTGTAGGTAACCCACAATGTCAAATGAATACTTTTTCAAGTATTAAACATTTGAAAGAAGAAATAGCAATTATAGTTATGATTTTATTTATTTTAAGCATTTAACTGCTAGATGTTTAAATCTAAAGAAAAGTTTTACTAGAAAAAAATCTATTGTGGGCCCGGATAGCGAAGGATGCGGGTTCGAGTCCCGTCCGCTGCCTGGTCCGCGTGGATTTTTTTCTAGTAAAACTTTTCTTTAGATTTAAACATCTAGCAGTTAAATGCTTAAAATAAATAAAATCATAAATATCATTTGAATCTAGTAAGTAGTGCACGGCCCAAGCACGAATTCTGGCATCTTCGTAATGCATATCCTCATCATCAAATTTTGTATGGAAAAAGCTAGTTTGTTCTTAAATCCGATGGGGCCATTCTTACATGGATGTTTCATGGAAACTTTGACGATGCGATAGGATTACGGAACTGAAAAATTCCTGTTTGAGCTTCTGACTTAGAATATTTGGCGACCTCCGTGGCCGAGTGGTTTCTACGCCGGGTTTCATGGTGTCGCCGACTCGAGAGCTCCCGGGTTCGAATCCCGGTGGGAGCAGATATTTGTGTGATGAATACGAGCATTTGTACTCCAGCCATGGATGTTGAATATGTATGTCTATGTAAATATACTTAAATATGTACTGTATCTGAAGATCTCGATGGCACAAGTGGTTAGCGCATTCGGCTGCGATCGTTAAAGTTAAGCAACTTTCGCAGTGGTCGGTCATTGGATGGGTGACCAAAAATTTACTATCTCGAGTTCCTCCGTGCTTCGGAAGGCACGTTAAGCCGTTGGTCCCGTCTGCATCTGCAGTCGTTAGCACCCGCCAATCCGCACTGGGCCCGCGTGGTGGGTCATGGCCCAATCTCCCTATTCCATCCATAGGGAAGGCCTGTGCCCCAGCAGTGGGGGACATTAAAAGGCTGATGATGATGATGATGTACAATATATGTCTTGTATCCGTTACCCTAGTATCCCATAACACAAGCCTTACAGTGCTTACTTTGGGGCTAGGCTAATTGGTGTGAGTGTTGGAAATTTATTTATTTGGCATTGTTGTGCAGAAAAACGGTTGGTCTCCGCAAGAGGCGGTGGAATACATGCGCGCGCGCCGACGGCACATCCTACTGCACACCAAGCAGTGGGAGGCGCTAGCTATATTCCACGACACGCATGTCAAGACGTAACCTAGCCCTAACAGATCCGTAGACTAATACTTAGCGTATACAGGGAACAGTGTTGAACCTCGTAGATATAAGGTAGTGATACCAATGACCGACCGTTTTTGAATTGTAACTTCTTTACGCACCCTTGACTGTAAGCTGGCGAATGCGTCTTGACTTGGGGGGGGGTATACGTTACGCGTTACGAAAAGTGTGTTCGGGCGAGGCGAACGGGAGTTGAGTGGGGGGTGTAAGCAAGAGAAAGCAGTGTGCGCGCACATTTTCTCTTATCTACTCTTATAACTAGTACACGAAATATGTATATGTACATACATGTATATATTGTACACACGTATATATATACTAGCTGACCCAGCGAACTTCGTACCCAAAAAAATAGGGGTTGTCCAGCGAACAAAATTGTGAATCTAAACCATTCTCAGATCCCCTTGAACACACACAAAAAAATTCATCAAAATCGGTCCAATCGTTTAAGAGAAGTTCAATGACATACACACTCACAGAAGAATTATATATATAAAGATATACATGCAGATGAAGCGGAAGAAGTTTCACTTCAGTCGTGTAGTCATAAGCACACTCGTTTTTTTCTGTGATCAATGAAAGTAGGAGTAGGTAACCGATCACTAAACGTGGTAATAACATCGTGCTTCATCGTCTTTAGCTCGCTCGGTGTTGCCATATTTATCGTACGGTTACATATTGTTATTATTATTGATCACAGAGGTAAGTGTCGGTCTTTGGTGCTACTACCTTAGATACCCGACTGTTAATTTTGGAAAAAAATGATGTTATTTGTATACATAGGTCTAACTTGAGCCATTAAAGAAACAAATCTAAAATGCCGACGCAAGATATTGTCTCCCTCGCACGATACTAAGGACAGGATGGGCGAGAGGCAGACCCGTCTTTCCCAGTGGGCACTTTGGGCAAGTGCCCAGGGCCCCGCGATCGATAGGGGGCCCCCTTAGATCAAATACAAAGTCCCTAGTTCCTGTTAAATCACCAAACGGAAGTCATAGGGGCCCCATTATCCTAATATGCCCAGGGCCTCCAATAGGTCAAAGACGGCAATGGCGAGAGGGAGAAAATATCTTGCGTCGTCATTTTTCTTTATTGGCGCGAGTTAAATAATCCATTTCAAATGTTTACAAAGCAAAATTAAACATAGATCTGGATTATAAACAGCTGAGCGATAGGAATTCGTAGAGCTTGAAGCAAATTTACTTAAATTGATCAACTGAATGATTAGATTTCTCGGAAATGCTTAATGTCTTCTTAAAATTACTGTATTGAAGTAACAGTTTACTGCAATACAGTAATTTTAATATTGTTTTGTATGAGTCACAATAAGGGTTGCCAGATGTACTATAATATATAGTACCTATTCTACTGTATTTTGCCTCTGTATACTTTATTATATACGAAACGCATAAAGTATGCTAAAATACTATATTTTAAAATTAAATTCAAAGATCACAAGTTGACGTTAAGTTAGGGTTTACGTAAACATTTCCGAACGCACTCATAAAAAAAAGTGACACGAACATAGAACATATTTATTATGCATGTAAAAATTGTAATAAGGACTATAATAAAAATACTTTAGTTTCTCTCTGTGTACTTTATTTTTCGTGCTTCAAACCGTCAAACACTTTTACACTACACTACTTTACACTTTATATCTCAGAAAAAAATCTGGCAACCCTAGTCACAATGGTGAAACCAAACAATGCTAATTGATAAGATTTTATTTATTTATTAATTTAGAAACAAATAGGACTAGAATAAAAATGTTGTTTCAAATAATATATTGTTTGCAATATTTGCAAGTTTACTAGATACTTTTGTTTTATTTTTTTGTCACCTACCTGATAGACGAAGTATTATTGTGTTTAACAGCCTTTCTTCGAAAAAGGGTACTTGACAAGATTTAGAAAACGATCTCACGTTATTGGCTAATGTTTATCGAGTCCGTAAAAAGTGGATATTCATCATTCTGTTATGTATTTCAGTAAAAATAACCAAATCAAAAAACTCCATTTTCAAGTTGCCGCGAAAACGTTTTTCTGGACAATATGGCGTCTTACTAGTGTGTGGCGTCATACGACTAATTATTAAAACGTCAAACGATACAATGTAATGTCACTTTAACCGGAAGTTTACTTGCGTGTGACGTCATTTTAGGCTCCGCCAATCCCAAGCGTTTTGGGTCCCGTGGCAATAAATGAGAAAACTATTATCTTTTTCATGGATTTTTTTTGTAAAAATAGTAAAACCCCTGCCAATATTCATTCTAAACACAGATGCTAACAATTGGCACTTTATTTTTAATACTGTCAAATACCCTATTGCAATAGAATAGCATTTTTAAACAATAAAATGACCGTATGGTGTAAACATATCATAAACTTATACCGCCTTATTCATAAACGCAGAATAAATTTGGATTATGTAATCCATGTTTTGTATCTCCGTTGAATGACAAATGGCATTTGAGTGACAAGAACAAAACACGGCGTAAACTAGTCTAAGCTTATTCCTTGTTTATTTATAAGGGGGATAGTTAGCCTAAATTTTTTGTAAAATAATCTAAATTATCTCTGGATGAGTCTATGTACAAAATTAAAAATTAGGTACATACTTATCCTTTCCTTATTTTTTTTATATCTATTCATTTTCCACGTGTTTAAGACATTTAAGCTTTGTTGCTACAAATTATAAAAAAAATAGTGACGCGCCCCTTCATTAATATGCTCAACAATGTTCCATGTAGATGCAATTTATAATTTTTTATGTTAACAAAATATTTCAGTAGTCAATTATACGTATGGCGACGCGGCCAAACAGTGCCCCTCTTTGAATTGCAAAGTACTCTAGGTAGGTATGTCTTTATCATCATTCTCTTTAATAGGATGTTTATTTTTCATCCCATTGTAATGTTAAATTCTTTGTCCTCGGGAAGATAATATTACATAGAGACATTGTGCATCGGGAATAAAAATATAAGGACTATAGAAAACACCTCAGAAAACACATTAAGGTTATCTTATTCTCATTGCACTGCAATAAAAACAAGCGGCCATACATAAGCAGCTTGAATCAATCGCGTCGGCTGTTAAGTTATAACTTAATAATTATAAAATTATAAGTTAAGGTACTACACCACAGCACATGCCCCTTTCTGATAGATCCCTTTAAGTCCTAAAAAGAAAACGACAGTCCTTTTTTAAAATTCTTTTATTACTCTAACTAACAATAAATAAAAACTCCACAAGCATTCTCTTCCGCATGACATTCAATAAATAGATGAATGACAAAAAAAAACGTGTATACGAAAATAAAAACAAAATTTCGAAAACGCGCGCTAATAAGTAAGCATTTAAGTACCGAATGAAGATTTTTTGAAAAATCCATAAAATTAATTTTTTCTTTACTTTCTGACCATTGGCATCTGTTCTTAAATTACAATGAAAGGTAAAAGCAAGTAGACAATTATTGTCTCATTCAGTTGTTATTGGTAACCTTAACACAGCTCATATATTGCTTGGATATTGACGCAAAAGAAATTCATTTCAATGAAATATTTTAAATATCTACTGTTTCGTGACAACAATACATTTTCAAAAACTGTATGTATTGCCACCTCAATAATTTTACGACTTTTAAATGCTAGTAATTTTTACATTCAAATTAATCAAACATCTCAGTTTATAATCTCTAGGGATTGTTTATCACAGTTATGCACCGAAAACCTAATTAATATAATTCAAAATATAATATTAAAAGAAAATACCTAACTACAATACTTTTCGTTGGACATATCGATACAATACAACATTATTTTTTGTATTGTAATTTTTGAGGGGCTATATATATATATAAGTTAGACAACGGTTTGAAACGAAAGTACACCTTATTGGCAAACCTTAACAGGTTCGACATAAAGTTCAAATTCATAATGTTTCTTTATGTTCGTAAATTCGATCGTTCGTATTAGAGGCGATTGCGTCCACTATGGTTTTAAAGTGCTACAATATTAAAACTATACCAATATGAATAAGATTCAAATGCGTCAATAGCCAAGCGTAGTTAAAATCAAAGTTGGTGTTTTGGCACTTACGGTCGAAAATCGTTTGCACAAATTCTCAATAATTGTTAGAATTCCCTTCGAAAACAAAGGGCCGAGTTCAAGCGATTTTCGCCTTAAGCGACTACCAACTATGTTCTGGTCAAGTTACGCCTTCTGTTCGGACTTGATTGCCCACAGTTGCCTTACAGAGTTGGCCAGACCAACATCGTGACTGATCAGGTAGAACAGACCACCAAGGGTCGCGATGGACAGCAGATACACTAGCCCGATGGCAATTTTGGGTATAACAGGGCCTAAAATTGCTGCTCGTACGTAGTCAACAGCGATCGCCTCCAGGCCCCTGGAACGATAAAGACAAAAAATGTAAGTGCTTTTTTTATTTGTAAACTCAAATCATTAATGCAAAAGCACTATCCGTAAATGGAATGTTCTGCCCGCTCACGTGTTCCCTCCTTCTTACAACCTGGGATCCTTTAAAAGAGGTGTGAAGAAGAAACATGCAGGCCGGCAGGGTGAGGATGGCTGGTGTGGCAGGTAGATAGCTGTACCAGCTATCTTCACGTCTGGACTTCACCGTCTCTTCACGTCTGGACTTCACAGTATTTTATGAAGCTTTAAGTAAATGGAGGAAAAATACAATGATTCAAGGTGACGGAATAATATTTATGTCAAACTAGCAAATCAAAAATAATCAGTCTTAAAATCACGAGTTTTTAAATACAGAGAATTATAATTTTTATTATTTTTAAAGCATGTAACTGCTTGATGTTTAAATCTAAAGAAAATATAACTAGAAAAAAAATTCCACGCGGACCAGGCAGCAGACGGGACTCGAACCCGCACCCTTCGCAATCCGGGCGAATGCACTGACCAATTATGCTACCGCGGCCCTCACGGACCGCGTCGAAATTCTTTCTAGCTATTCTTAAGCTGCAAGGCAGCGCCATCTCTTCGCATTATAGGTAAACCCACAATGTCAAATGAATACTTTTACAAGTATTAAACATTTGAAAGAAGAAATAGCAATTATAGTTATAATTTTTATTATTTTTAAAGCATGTAACTGCTTCATGTTTAAATCTAAAGAAAATATAACTAGAAAAAATTCCACGCGGACCAGGCAGCAGACGGGACTCGAACCCGCACCCTTCGCAATCCGGGCGAATGCACTGACCAATTATGCTACCGCGGCCCTCACGGACCGCGTCGAAATTCTTTCTAGCTATTCTTAAGCTGCAAGGCAGCGCCATCTCTTCGCATTATAGGTAAACCCACAATGTCAAATTATTATTAATATGATTATTTGAGAAGTCGCCCGCAATTTAATTACTAATACTATGCGGAGTAAAGAGAAAGACGGCAACATCGCGGTTCGCAGCGCTTGCCATGCCAATTTTCTACAAGTTGGGCCTTCCGTGCCGCATTTTTATCAATTTCATCTACATAATTGAGTTTCTTTCTAGTTTTGTGACTGTAAATATTTTATTTCATATGTAATAAAAAAATAAGTGTGATGAATTAGGAAGTATTACATAAAATATATATGTTATTTTAAGTGTTCTATTTAATAAAAAAATATATAGTTTTGAGGCAGAATAATATTTACGCCTCGACTGAGACGTACGAAAAGCTTTATTATTAAATTTAATATTATAATAAATACGCATTCGTATAAAAATTTTAATTATTGAAGAGTTCAAGCAACCAAAAACAGCACAATATCGACTATTGCTCTTTGACATACGACTGGAATACTGGATGCCCACCGGGTGTCGCGCGAACTCGTGTGGCGTAGGTATGACACGCTTTCCGACCGTTTGTATGAAGATAGAATACTGTATAGATAATATTACCGTGCCGATATGAATGACTAAAAGTGGATGTCTAAAAGAGCACCGGTTTACAATCTCTAGTTTCACTTCACTTCTATCGCATGTGAACAACACATTTCCGTTTTTTTCCTTACGCCTGGAAAATGATGCGTTATTACATAAACCATTTTGTAAATCGTAGCACACTCTTAGATGTCATACAAGATAAGTAACAGGCTACTGTCAACAAGGTTATCATTTTCTATTCGTCTATTGTCACGTAAATAGAATTGATACAGAGATACCCAGACACTGAGACGATTATGCAGAATAGAGGAATAATCAGGATATCATTTGTACGGGGTCAGCGCTCTACCAAAGCAACAAGACAAATGCGTTTTTAATTTTCTTGATAGTATTAATTACTTTTTGATTATTTTCAACTTATTGTTATGTCGTAAAATATAAATAAACTAATAGTTATGCGTCGTAGTAGGAAATTAAATATGCTTTGGTTTTATCAGACTATTGCCCGTTTTTATTGTGGCTAGAGAGTACCATTTTTATAGTTTACTCCTTAAGAATCGATTTGCATATATAAGGGGCCCGGTATGAGAAAAGTGTGAGGAGTAAAATCTATTGATGAATGACCTCGTTACGTTTTTGGTGCGCATCCTATGTAGCGCAACTTTGACAAACAAAGATGACGGATTGACATTAATAATTTTTTTTAAATCTGAACTGAATTTAGATATTGTTTCTGATAGAGCAATGGGGACAACGAGGTATGGTACAACCATTGATGCGGTATTTTCAAGATTCGTGAACCACGTATCTACGAACGTCCATGTGTCTTATTTTAGTTACCATAAACCACTTGTCACTGTAATTAATAATGCAGACAATGTTGATTTAATTAATATTTAAAAAAATGATAATAGTCTGATAATAATAATTACATAATTTATCAACATTCCTAATGATATATTTATGCACATCTGAAATTGACTATTGTAAAAAGTTTAATGTAAAATATTTCGTCGATTAGTTATAATAAATGTATATGAAATGAATAAATATATATGTATATTATTTTCATTAATTTGTAAATTTACCCTTTCATACAGTATCAATCTTTTTTAAGTTAAATAAACTCTTTTTGCGTCTGGTTAGACTATCGAACTTAAGGAGTAAACTCCAGTCGTGCGTCGGAGCTGACACACACAATTTTTTTTCATAGATAGGGCCGAGAAATGACCACCCCACCTGATGTTAAATGACGGTGAAGTCCAGACGTGAAGATAGCTGGTACAACAGTTCTACCTGCCGCACCAGCCACCGTCACCCTGCCGGCCTGTATGTTGCTTCTTCACGCCTCTTTTAAAGAATCCCAGGTTGTAAGAGGGAGGGAACACGTGAGCGAGCAGAGCATTCCATTTACGGATAGTGCTACAAAGAAATAAGTCACCAAATTTCTTTGTACGCGTTGGAATATCGGCCACAGTTAGTCGGTGACAACGTAGGCCAGCGCGTGTGATCCTCTGAAGGAAAGGGGAAGGTGGAATAAGAGAGAATAACTCCTCAGAACACTCGCCGTGGTACAGACGATAGAACGCGCTTAGTGACGCCATTTTTCTGACGCATCAGTTATCCTCGTGACTGACTACTGACATATTTGGCAACCCATTCAATAATCAACTACGAGAGTAATCGTAGACTAAAACTACAAGGAATTAATTTAACTACGAGAAATAAGAATATGCTAGTTTAAATACTACATATCTACATTACATTTCTATAGTACTATAGAAATGAAAATTCACGCGGTCCATAGGCAGCAGACGGGACTCGAACCCACACCCTCCGCTATCCAGACGGATGGACTGACTAATTATACTACGGCAACCTTAATGACCGTGTCGAATTTATTTCTACTATTTCTTACACTGCAAGGCAGCGCAATCTCTTCGCATTAACGTGCATTTTTTTTTTGTAAAAATGTCTTTAGATTTAAACAGCTAGCAGTTAATGCTTAAAATAAAAATATAATGAAGTACTAGTTCCTTGCTACTGAAATAAATGTTAGATTAAAGGCAGAAATATACTTATCTGTCGTGTAGTGTCGTGACGCGTCATAGAGCTATCGGTTTCATACATTTAGTACGGTTAGTGAGTATACTGTTGATTCATCGCAACACAAGTACAATTCTAACCATACTAAGGCTCGTATTACAGAATGACAACTAAGTGTTGATCTTTCCTTGAGTACAGTTAGAAAAAGTTGTCGCTATGTGCTCTACAAAGCGACATCCCTATCTAACTGTACTCAAGTAAAGATCGACACTTAGTTGTCATTTACAAAATTTATACGAACCTAAATGTATGAAACCCATAGCTCTCTGCAGTGGCGGGGCAAGACCTAAATTTGATGTGGGAAAGACAGATTTCGCGAGGCCCTGTTCTGTGGCGACCTGAAGACGGATTTTATAAAATAATAAAAACAAACCGCTTTTAAGCAATGCATAAATTTTTTTGAGGCGCGAGGCCCCTTGTACTTTGAGACCGTAGGCGGTGGCCCACGTCGCCCACGCCTTACGCCGCCTCTGGCTCTCTGACGCGTCACGACACAACATGACATAAGTATATTTCTGCCTTTAAACTCAAAACCTGTGGCACAGTGGCTGGTTTCACTGGTTTCGCTGGTGGGGCACTGGTGGATTTAGGCTTCCTCATGTTCCTCCATATCTTCCAGAAGGCGCGGCACATGCCGATGTCATTCAGATTCAGATAGAACAATCCCCCGAGAGTCACCGCAGTCAGCCCATACACTACCCCCATGGCCACTTTGGGTATGAAAGATCCGAACAGCAGAACCCGGATGTATTCCACCACTAACGCTTCTAGACCCCTGGTGGAAGGTTCAAGGATAAAGGATAGGATAGGGTGGCTAAAATGAGGTTAGGATGGTAAAGAACAATGTCCATTTTTGACCTGATCATGTATAGAGATGACATATACGTCAAAATATAGCTAATTTAACTATAACTAATTTAATAATATATTACAATAACCAACACGGTAACCGCAGGAAAAACCCTTTTTTTTTAATATGTTTAATGTATGTGTAAGTTACAGTTTCCGAACACACTTGAACTATCCAGTGTTTGCAAAACTGATTTCTTTGACATATAACAGGTGTTTGACAACCCGCTCTGTACAGAGTTTGTTATTTAGAATGCTTTGGTATGTAAGATCGCTCTAAAATGAGTTTTCATATAATCCCATTGATGTTGCTCAAAATAAATTGCCTATTTCACTCCCGGGACAAATTTTTCTTTACAATTGTTGTTTGTTTATTACGTAATTTTTCCAGTATACTTTATATTTATACATTAACTTTCATTATCGGGTTTTCAAATGTATGAAAAGTGGGCATTGTTCTTTGCGCCTGTTCCCAATAGTTTTACCGAGTAGTCTTACCAGTTGAACTACTGGGAATTTCCTCCCCAATAGACTTACCAGTAAGTCCACTGGAAACTTTGTGCCCAATGGACTTACCAGTAAAACCAAACTCCCAATAGTGTTACTCTTACGTAGACCTAGGTAATTGATAGATTTTGAGACACATACGTCAGATTCCTTTTTCATCAGAATAGGGTTTAGGCTGTTTTTATCTGACAAAAGCGGATATTCTAGATTTAGGTTTTAGTTCTATGGTCAAGAGTTAAGAGTAAACGAATCAATCTCAGAAGATAATTGTGAAAAGTGAAAATTGATTTTTTTATAAAAAATATATATATATAAAAATTATTATACTCAGAACCTCTTAGTCATGTATGCACTGCAGGTACTTTTTCAATAAAATGATTTTATAAATGGAAAAGTTAACAAAGCTAGAGGTCTAAAGTAACACCAACAAAGTCTTACTATCAGTAAATCTATTGGGAAGAAAATACCCAGTAGATCGACTGGTAAGACTACTGGGAACAGGGGGAAATTTGTGCTAGTATATAATAGCAACTTCGTATCATAAGTGTATTTTGATTTCATCATTGTAATGAATATTTAAAAGCTTTTACAGAATGTGTATGATGAATGTAAAAGAAAAATAAATATGTGAGGTAATAGACTACAGGCCAGAAGAGGTATTGAAATTGTATGGAACCGATGCGGTACAGAATCAAATGACCAAATTTACCCTTTTATTGTGTCTGGGAAATGCCTTACGCGTCCTTCAACCACTGGGGGAGCGAGAAGAAGGTATGTGGGACTTCTCCCTGTCCCCTTCAGCCAGCCTTGGAGCTCGCTGAAGTGAACAGGGCCCTACCTACGCCCTGAACCATGCCATTAAAAACCAGACAATACTCCTGCACCGTCACCCAACACGCACTATGAGGACCGCGGTCCCCCTAGTGCGTGCGTGCATGAGGGCGGGTGTGGTCGCGGAACCCGTCTCCGAATGGCCGCGCAACCACCAAATTTACCCTGAAAATCGTCGGAAAATCAAAAAATTTCACGACTTGTCGCACCATTTTTGTAGGGCACTACGTGTCTGCTTATTATATTTCATGGATCTATCGATGGTAAGAATGCCGTACAAAAAAATATATGACGAAAATGTACCTCCTCAATCTGTACTTTTGGATTCTCACCTGCACTCAGTTGGACAGCTTACCAGTGATGGAATAGTGCTGAATCTTATTATTTAATGTCCTTTTATGTATTTCTAAATAAGACTTCTGGTGGTTCAAATGACTCATAAATTTTTGAAACGGGCCTGCAGTCTATATTAACCAATTGTAAATATGAAATTGCTATTAAGGATACTATTACAGAAATTGAGGATTTAATTGCTTACACATACTTGATGATGGTGCCTTAAACTAAGCTCTGATCTACTACTATATAAGCAGGCAAAACTGGTTTCTTACCAAAAACTATGGGCCGTGATGAGTATCGCCAGTACCGCGTCAATGATCTTGTTTGGCATGAGCAGGCCAAGTGGAATGAGAGGCACCAGCGCTGCAGATGTAGCCCTCTCTATCACCCATAGCTTCGAGTGGTCATGGGGCTTTTCATCTGATAGACGTACCCGAGTTGTGCGGAATGAACGCACCTTGGAAATAAAACATGATCACATTTAAAAAAAAATGTAATGTACTTGGGATGTTTAAAGTAGGGATAAAAGTTTATATGGAAAAATAGTGATGTTTTAAGTTGTGATTGGATGTTGGTGAATAGATGCATTTTAAAGTACTATTTAAAAAATTAAAATGAATCAATTATTATATCCTTTTATTTCAGTTTGGTTTAAATTTTTTTTGAGAACAACAGTTACATAAATGTATTTATATAGCTGTACTGTATTAATGTAGTGAATTTTTATTAAAGGAGAACTAAAACAAAAAAAATTGCTGCCTCAGCAATATGGTTAATAGTTTTTATCACACTCAATTGTCAAATTAATATAGAGTTTGACAGTTAGGTGTGGTAAAAAACCTGACATAGGTAATATTAATGCGGTGGTGCTCATGGCAGGAGGCTGAGGTAGTAAATGGCTTGGAGCAGGTGTCACAGTATTTCTTTAGTATTTACATATTGTTCATTCATAGTCACTCAAAAGCAAGACTTACAGAATTTAGAATGGGGGTTTTGGTATCATTGAACGCTAAACTTCTGATGGCCACAGCACTGGTGACGGAACGGTGTGTCAACGTGGGCTGGGATGCTATTTGTGCTAACTGCTGTCTCAATAGGTTTGTGCATGCTGGAATTGAGAAATGGTTTAATTAAATACCATAAATAAATCTGGTTAGCAAATTGAAATAAAAAGTTGTTTATTCATTCCCAAGTTGTGGAGGATCTGGGCCAACTGAGCGTAAATTCTGTCTATAATAAAATTTATTGTATTCAGATGAATTGTAATGTCCGCCAGTGTTTAAGCCATACCAGCAAAAAGCTGTTGTCAATGCAACATTTAACAAAAGTTCCCAAGTTTTGTTAGAAATTTACTTAAAAATCATATTTATTCAGAATAAACTGCAACTAGAATTAAAGTAATTAGATATAACGAGGTGTTTATTATATGAAAACAAATTCTAATTACAAAAAACAAGCTACATGTAATAATATTATTGTCCAAAAGATAACCTATAATCAAGCAATATATATGATCATGTTAGGTACCTCTTTCAAAGCGAATGTGAAAAAAAACAATATAACCTTAATTTGGAAAGTTTAAAGGAGCCAGAAGACCATCTAACAAATAATGATATAAGGAAAAACAACAATGTTATGTAATAAATAAAACATGCAATTGTTCTGCATTATATACCTGGGTTTCTAAGGAACATGGAGAATGCCATTGCACCAATTTATATTATTTATCAAGCAATTAATCGCTGATTAAGTACGTGCTATTTGCTGCACACTTTTTGAAAATACGAATTCTTTTTTTGAAATTAGGGAACTGTCAGATCTCAAAAAAGAACAATTCGGACAGTGCAGTGACAGAAGTATGGACATGGACCGTAAATTGGATTTCATGCCGGAGCTTCACATGGTTATTTAGTATTTGCTATTATTTGTCATTATGGTAGAAGTTGTCATTGTCATGCGCTATATGGAATGAAAAGGAGAGGCTGTTTTTAAGTTCAGAAATAACAAATACGAATAGCCATGTGCAATTAGAATTCAAGTCTGCTGTTTTTGTACGGCGGACTACAAGGCAGGATCGTGAATCGGTCCCTTTATACAAATACAGTAGAACGCCGATTATCCGAACGCCGATTAACCGAACCGCCAATTATCCGAATCGGTCCTAAGCGTAATATAAAAAATTAAAACCAAGTAATTTTTGTTTTGTTCTAATAAGTTGGAACTCGCTAAAGTCCAGCGAGTATGTTAAATACCTATATATATTTATATCAACTGTTAATGGTTGAAAGCTAGAGGCAAGACACTACATGTTTTACTGTTCTTAATTTTGTTTTGCTACTATGTACCTCTATTATTGTATCTAGTATTGTAGAACTGTGTTTGTTAAACGTAATAAAGTTTATTGTATGTGTGGCAGTTCGTTTTTCTTTATTACCTGTCATGTCATGTGTGTCATGTCCGAGTATCCGTATTTTCGATTATCCGAATCGACCCCGGTCCCAATTAATTCGAATAATCGGCGTCCTACTGTACATTCGAATTTAGTTCGAATGTATCCCTAAACAAACGAAGTGGATTGCCATTTTGAAAATTGCATTACTATTTTGACGTTTTAAATTTGACAATCATGACAATTCATTTTCATTCATGAAGGCTTTGGAATATTTGTGAATTTATAAAATAGAATTTGTCTGGGGTTTCGAGTCTTCAATCGTAAACTAACGTTTAGTAAAACAAAAAATTAAAATGGCCACTACACTGGAAGATAAATCAATCTGGGAAGATGGAGAGGAAGCGCTCAGTGAAGAGGTGCTTCGTATGCCAACAGATGAAATAATCAGCCGCACCAGACTTTTAGACAACGAAATAAAGATCATGAAGAGTGAAGTTATGAGGATAACACACGAGCTACAGGCTCAGAATGAAAAAATCAAGGAAAACACAGAAAAAATTAAGGTCAACAAAACATTGCCTTATCTTGTTTCCAATGTGATTGAATTGCTGGATGTAGATCCTCAAGAAGAAGAGGAAGATGGTGCTGTAGTAGATTTGGATTCACAGCGGAAAGGAAAGTGCGCAGTCATCAAAACGTCAACACGCCAGACTTACTTTTTGCCAGTCATTGGCTTGGTAGATGCAGAGAAACTAAAGCCAGGTGACTTGGTAGGCGTCAATAAAGACTCCTATTTAATTCTGGAAACACTGCCAGCTGAATATGACGCGAGAGTTAAAGCTATGGAAGTGGATGAACGTCCAACAGAACAATATTCAGATATTGGTGGTCTTGACAAACAAATTCAGGTTAGTGTAAATTTTTATACATTTAACAGGTATATCAGTGTATATCCAACTTGGTTGTATTTTACATTTCCATAGGGTTGGATAAGAATGAAAAATATCTTTTCTTTGCTCCAGTTCCAGTTCAACATCTAAAACTGATCGTTATTTAGATTCTCATAAAATAGGCACACAGGATCCATTTTTTATGGTTTATGTGCAATAATAAAGAAGTTTAATGTTTATTATTGTAATTGTCTTCAGGAACTTATAGAGGCAGTGGTGCTTCCAATGACACACAAAGAAAAGTTTGTGAATCTCGGCATCCACCCCCCTAAAGGTGTGTTGTTATATGGACCACCGGGAACAGGAAAAACCTTGCTGGCCAGAGCTTGTGCTGCACAGACCAAGTCCACTTTCCTGAAGCTGGCAGGACCACAACTGGTACAGATGTTTATAGGTATGTATCCCATTTGTTATATTGTGTAAACATCCAAATTAATGCTTATTTAAAAACAGAGTCTTTAATATTTACTAGATATAAAATGTAACCTTTTTATTATATGACTTTTGTGCACCTCAAAATTTGATTTCAAATACACTGGGCAGAGATAATCAATATTAGTACACTATTCTTGTATGTTTCTAATGGTATCACTAAATTTGACAGCAATGTCCTTTCCTTATTCTATATAGCATAATCCAGTGTCCACAATATTATTTACAAATATATTGGCCCTTGGGTGAATTCTATCAGACAGGGTATATAATTTTGGGTGACCAAAAATTTACTATCTCAAGTTCCTCTGTGCTTTGGAAGGCACGTTAAGCCGTTGGGCCCGGCTGCATCTGCAGTTGTCAGCACCCACCAGTCCAGCATGGTGGGTAAGGGCCCAGTCTCCCTATTCCATGCATAGGGTAGGCCTGTGTCCCAGTAATGGTGACATTAATAGGCTGATGATGATGATGATGTAATTTGGACACTAACAATAAATTCAATGTTTTCTTAAATTCTAGGTGATGGTGCCAAACTGGTTCGTGATGCATTTGCACTAGCAAAAGAGAAAGCACCAGCTATAATCTTCATTGATGAGCTGGATGCTATCGGTACAAAACGGTTCGACTCTGAGAAAGCAGGAGACCGAGAGGTGCAGCGTACTATGTTGGAACTCCTTAACCAGCTTGATGGTTTCAGTTCTACTGCAGATATTAAGGTAACAGATTTTCTTTTATAACATTTATTCTTAGTAGAGCATGATATAGAAATAACATGGATATGAAAACAATATGATGCTTTCAAATATACTATTGGTAGGTAGATGAGACCATTTATAAATATTTAAAATTAAACTTACACCCCCTTATTCAAATGCTATTTGTCATTCAATTAACAAGGACAAAACATGGAGTAAGTAATCCAAGCTTATTCTTTGTTTATAATTAAGGAAGATGGAGGACAAGGTTTATTTTAATTAATATTAAAGTTGCCTTACTATTCAATAAAAATGTGACATTACTATTTAAAAGTAGTATTGTCACATTTTGAATCAAATATTCATGTTCTTGAATTATTTATTATTTGTTAAAAATTTTCAACATCAAGGTAAAGGATTGAAGCTATAAGTTATAGAATTATTTTGTAAAATTTTCAGGTGATTGCTGCCACAAATCGTGTAGATATCTTGGACCCTGCACTGCTGAGATCTGGACGTCTGGACAGGAAGATAGAGTTCCCACATCCAAATGAGGAAGCTCGAGCTCGGATCATGCAGATCCACTCAAGGTATTTTAACCTGATAGTCCAAGAGCCCACTGCGAAATATCTACCCGAATCGGACTTACGGACAAATCGTGTACGATTCGATGGGGAATGTGGTCGTGATAGGGTTGCCGGACATGATAAACCCTGTATCTTGACCGAAGGGTCGAAAAAAGGGCCACTTCCGGTCAATTTTTCGGGAGCCTGCTACCCGGATAAAACTTACAATCAAAATTAGTGCCAATCGATAGGGGATGTTGAGCACTTTAAGGAAAAATCGGGTTGCCACCCCCCACCCTGTCAGGGGTTGCGGCAGCCACCCTTAAGTGTGACCCATTTTCCTATTGCTCTACCCGGATTGAACTTACGATTTTTTTTTTCTCCAAATCGAAGCTTGAACTTTCCCCAACACGAAAAAATAGGGTTGCCACTTCTGACCTTGACCAGAACAGCCGTCAGCCAGCCCCGAGTTACCCAATTTCGAGGTTCCAATTTCGATCGCAATTTAACTACCCGCATCGAACTTACGATTTCTTTTTTTTTTAAATCGAAGCTTGAATTTCCCCGAACACAAAAAAACGAGGTTGCCAACTTTGGCCTTGACTGAAAATTTTTCTGCCAGTGAATTATGGCGTCAATATTAATTTATTTTATTTTGGAGCAGATCGAAACGAATCATGAAAAAACATTAGAAAATCAGATTTTTTTTATTTTTTTATTTCATTTTATAATTCGAAAAGAAATCGCTGTTATATTTCCCATCGGATATTTCCAGTAGCAAATTTTTATATTTGATGTTCAAATCTTGGAGGTAGAAGACTTTTTCTTTCTTAACAATTTCTTCCTGGATGAAAATGGAAAAGACTTCAAAAGCGGTATTGTGAATTTGTCTTGTTCCATGCCAAATCCCTGCATCTTGATCGTCCTGAACCGATTTTTCACACGATTTGTAAAAATTCAGTTTGCAAATTTTGTGATAATTCAAAACATTGCGACCTAATAATTTATTCAGCAATCGCGTGTCTTCCAACTTTTCTGCAGATTCCTTCAATCGATTTAACGTTTCAGGGCAGTTCGATGTGATTGTTTGAAATCTCTTTCCGCCTGCTCTTTTCACCGCGATCCCTTCTACCTGGGAATTTTGAAAAGACCCCATAATACATGAGGACGTAGCAGCTGCTGTCGTTACACTGTTGCCACGATCTCAACGCGTCGATCTGCTCCAAAATAAAATAAATTAATATTGACGCCATAATTCACTGGCAGAAAAATTTTCAGTCAAGGCCAAAGTTGGCAACCTCGTTTTTTTGTGTTCGGGGAAATTCAAGCTTCGATTTAAAAAAAAAGAAATCGTAAGTTCGATGCGGGTAGTTAAATTGCGATCGAAATTGGAACCTCGAAATTGGGTAACTCGGGGCTGGCTGACGGCTGTTCTGGTCAAGGTCAGAAGTGGCAACCCTATTTTTTCGTGTTGGGGAAAGTTCAAGCTTCGATTTGGAAAAAAAAAATCGTAAGTTCGATCCGGGTAGTGCAATAGGAAAATGGGCCACACTTAAGGGTGGCTGCCGCAACCCCTGACAGGGTGGGGGGTGGCAACCCGATTTTTCCTTAAAGTGCTCAACATCCCCTATCGATTGGCACTAATTTTGATTGTAAGTTTTATCCGGGTAGCAGGCTCCCGAAAAATTGACCGGAAGTGGCCCTTTTTTCGACGCTTCGGTCAAGATACAGGGTTTATCATGTCCGGCAACCCTATCACGACCACATTCCCCATCGAATCGTACACGATTTGTCCGTAAGTCCGATTCGGGTAGATATTTCGCAGTGGGCTCTCCGACTATGAGATAAAAAAATCTCAAGTCAAGTTGACTTCTTAGCCTGTTAACCAGTTGTGTCTAATTTAATGAGACCGTAAAGTATAAAACGAAAATAGTTACATTTCAAACTTACAAAGTTTTAAAATAAAAGATTTTTGTTTTTCTACTTACCGATGTTTTCGGCAGGCAGAGTATAAAATGTACTAATCTCAAAATAGCAATGATAATAAAGCACAAAACACAATGCAAACTCAAAGAAGGACCAAGCATTTATGTGTAGACATATAAAATATAAATTATATCTTAGGTGGCCACTCCTTTGTCCTTCCCCTGGACTCAAACTATCTATATACCAAAGTTCATCTAAATCGGTTCAGCGTTAATCGTGAAGAGGTAACAGACAGACAGACACACTTTCGCATTTATTATGATAGTATGTATGGATGGATTAATTAAAGAACCCAAATTAACATTATAAGAAAAAAGCCTATTAATTAATTTACAAAAATTAAGAGTGACAACCCTGACGCTCAATCGGTGCGTAGGTATTTATCTCAACAAAATGGCCTGTTTGCGGTACTTTAGCTTATATAAATACTGTGCCATTAGATTGCCATATGTTTTACCTTTCTACATAAAAGTATTTTTTTTATACAAATAGATTTCATTCATATTATTTAACTGCTAGATTTATAAATCTTAAGAAAATCCAATCCAATGATAGGCAGTTTTTTACCTTTAGAAATATTAAATAAAAATATTGACACTACCACTAGTGAGAGGTAATTTCTATTAATCTATTCCCAGTTGTCACGGATTTGTCACCCCCGGGATGTATGGGTTTTTTTTTAATTCCCACTCGTTACCGGTCGGGACAAAGCGGGGGGTGACAAGTGGGCATGACAGATACTTTCTAGTAAAATCCTTTTAAATTTGTTCATGTCTGAACAGGAAAATGAACGTGAGCCCCGACGTTAATTTCGAAGAGTTGTCCCGTTCCACGGACGATTTCAACGGTGCCCAGTGCAAAGCGGTTTGCGTTGAAGCCGGTATGATAGCTCTGAGGCGATCCGCGTCTGCAGTCACGCATGAAGACTTCATGGACGCCATCTTGGAAGTGCAGGCAAAGAAGAAGGCCAACCTCAGCTACTACGCCTAGTTGTCATATTATTTACATTGTCATACTTCACATTTTAATAAACAGTTTTCACATCACTGAATTTTATATTACAATAAAATCTTATTACTGAAAGACTGAAATAGAGAAATCCACAGCCATAAAATTCCATAGCCGTAAAAATTAAAAAATGCAATATAATAGGTTATTCAGTTCTAAATGAAAATTTATTTTATCATCTAATAAAGGCTTTGTCAATGATATTACATAAGAGGGCTTATTTATACATTTTTGTTGATTCTGTATTAGCAATTTAGCTGTGTGAAAATTGTTTACTAAATATGTCTAATAAGAGACGATCTTAATATTATAAATACTTAGTTTGTAATGAATATAAATTTAATAATCTGATTGACTTTTATATGTTAATAGCTGCGCCCCGCGGTTTATTAGGGATATTTTCCCGCAATGAAACTAAAACATAACCTATGTGTTAATCTAGGGTGTCAGCTTATCCATACCACATTTTAATAGAATCGCTCCAGCCGTTTAGAGCTAAATAAGTAACAAACATACACTCTCACACACTCGCAAACTTTCGCCTTTATAATATAAGTGTGATAGTGCACATCATAAGTGTTTTATTAAGTACAGTCAACGACTCGTCCAATTACAAATTATTGTTTGTGATTCTGGCATAATTCATGAAATTTGTCACATGTTTTTTAATGGCATATTAGGGGTAGACTGCTTTGAAATAAGTCTTAGATTTAATATGCCCCGCAGTAAATTTTTCTCATTTGCGAATATTATAAGCAAGATGCAGGGCCGTGGCTAGATCGACGCATTATAAGGCAATGCCCTTCTTTAAAGTACCATCCATTGCCTTTCCTTAAAACGGGGCGGCAGATGCCATAAAAAGCCAATATATATACTGACCATAATTTACCACATCTCGGGGGATGATCGCTTCAGATGAAGCTTGTAAGGCCCTTCTGACCATAAGCTTGTAATATGGATGTGTTTTAGTCAGTATAATATCGGACATTGATTATTTAATTTACTTACTATTTCAAGGATCTTAAATGAGAGTGCTCCATGGAGGATTAAATAATAATAATAATAAATATTTCCGACACACACCAATTAGCCTAGCCCCAAAGTAAGCACTATAAGGCTTGTGTTATGGGATGCTAGGGTAACGGATAGAATACATATACTGTACATATATAAGTATATTTATATAAATACATATGAAACATCCATGACTGGAGTACAAATGCTCGTATTCATCACACAAACAGTTGCCCCCACCGGGATTCGAACCCGAGACCTCTCGAGTCGGCGATAGCCATGATACCCGGCGTACAAACCACTCGGCCACGGAGGTCGTCGAAATAAATCAAATCATATAAAATTGTAGATAAAAAGCAAAACTCACGGCGCCATATGCGCCCGCAGATCGTGTGGATGTTTGTGATTACCCGCAGACGCGGCGAGTTTCGGCGCCAAAAAAAATGCGATCTCGTGAGTTTTGAACCTTAGCTCCGTAACTTAACACCTATCGAGTCACCACCAGTAATCGACTCGTGCTTCAGCTCGCCCAAGATGCAAATAACAAGAGGAGCTAAGGCCCAAGCACTAAATTTCGTTCGTACAAAATTTTTCATTGAAGATACGTTACGGAGCTGTCTGCTGTGTTCAATGTAGCATACCACATGGCTTTTTACCAATGTTGCACGTACAATGTTGTCTCTCAATAGTTCTAGCCACTTAGCACCAGAGGCGCTAATATCATTAGGCTTAATTTTTCTGGTGCAGAGATCGATAAAAAAATGCTATTTTTATATCAGTTAATTTCTTATGATACCTATAAAAATTTTGAGCTTATTGGCATAAAAAGACATTGGGTATAAATGAGAAAATATTATGATTAAACAAGAGACACTGCTGCCATCTAGTAAAGAATAACAGAACCTAATGGTACACGTCAGTTATACAAGTCAATCTCGTAGCGTTACTTATTGCTACCCGCGCCCCTTCTTGCTGTATTCACACTTGCTTTCTTAGAGCAAACTCCTATAAATGTCTTTGTGTTTGCTCCATGATTTTACATCCATGACGACCGTCGTCTTTGATGTAAAAGTCATGGAACATAGACACACTATGTCTATGATGTGACAGTAGGGCACTGGATACAGCATAGAGAAAAATGGTTATCACTTTGCTGAAGTTTTCTGGTTTTCACAGAATGATGGATAGTATGTGACCATTTGTAGACGATTAAGATAAATCATTTCGAATCAGTTCAATCTGTGACATTAACTTGCCAGTTAGTAGTCACTGGGAGATCATAAACTACCATGCAGCTGACAATAGGTTGCTGACAGGCCTGTCACGCCTGTGTTCTTGGGCCATGATTGTATATTTTTTTGGCAAATTACTTTTTGACTTGCATAGACAATAATTTTCAGAGAGCCTAGTTCCAACCCTGGCTAAAGCTATAAAAAAAATGGTTGCCTGTAAAGTCGGTTTTACGGGCGAAGATTTTACGTGACAACGTCTTTTTCTCGGTAGAATATTTATTGATATGAATATAATTAAATTGCACAATAGGAACAAGGAATTGAATGAAAATAAGAATTGCACAAATTTTAACTATAGAAATATATTTTGTTTACTAAAACATTGTACATGTAAACTTAAACTTAACACGAGAGACTCATCGTAACGTTACCGAGCGTTACACTTTTTCATAAGTGACTCCCAGCCGCAACCTAATTTAAGACGTTGTCACGTCAAAAAAATATATGACAATAATTTTCAGAGAGCCTAGTTCCAACCCTGGCCAAAGCTATAAAAAAAATATATGAGTTTTTGGCGGGATTTCATCGAGTGCGGTTGGCGGTTTATTTTAATTATTCTAAAATTCGTTCATAATGGATATTGTAAAATATCTTGTTTGGTGTGATTTTGCGTTACAGCGCAACTGAAGTATTAGTGGAATCTTTAAAATATACGCTATTCCGGTCAAGTGGACGTGAGAACTTTATTATAGTGTTGACTACCTCACAGAAACTTATCGAAAAAGCCAACTCGATACATTTTGTGTCGAACATTAGAATGCGTCACACCGACATTGTAATGTAAAAAATAAAAACATTAAATATAACTTGATAACTAAGCTGTATGGGAATGGTTCCCTTTGCCTTCTTTAAAAAGGGAGTATCTTAAAAAAAAATATTGATGTCACAAAATAAAATGGATCTGTCAAAATTTTAGTAACCCACCAAAGAAAAAATCCTAGTAGTACTTTTAGTTTTTAACAAAAACTAGTCAAAATTTTAGAAATGTGAAATTATTTGTGCTTGAAAAATCTTCGACCGCTTATCATCGGCGAAAAAGAATACGGACTTTCGTCGTAAGTACTAACTCTAACCTATTGCTAATGTTGACATTGGAATTTTAACATATTTCTGAATGCCGCATAGCCATATCGATTTGCGAATGTTACAGTATGTATACGGGTATAAATGTTAACGCTTTACGCTTTAATCGTTCTGTCGCTTATGAAACTTGTAATAAAAATATCCGTCTTCATAATTGGCTGTCTGAACACATCATAAAACAAAAACCACATAAAACAATTTAAAAGCCAAATTATCACGATATCCTGCCTTAATAAATATTTCCATTAAGACTGGATATTGATTCACTTCTATTTCTTTATACTTTGATAATGTTTCATTCATATATACCTATATATATTTTTCACTAATAATATAATTTGTATGATTAATCGAATCGTCGAAGGCGAAAGAAGCATCAGATATTTTCTTATTTTTCCGCAACAAAGACCAGCCATGGACCTGGAAGATAGCTGTGAGATTCCATGTAAGATTGCGTCAGATGATTTACCCAAAGTACACACAAGATGCAACCACAACCGTCCACACACCAGGTTTTGACATGGATATGTAGTTCACAGTTTTTATATTTTTATTTATATATACACATTTTTATTCCTCATTATTGAAATCCAATTTTAATCTATTTAAGTGCTTTAGTCAATCTCATAAGTTCTTGAATTTATAATATTTAAAAAAAAAATATCTGCACTATATTTGGATTTCAGTACATTTACTTTTTATTTATTTATGTAGTTACAGGTAGTTTATTTAATACAAACCTGTTTTAAATAGGTATTTATATGTAATTTTATGCATTGCTCATACACTTCTTATTGCTTCAGTGCTTGTCCATTTCTCATACTTGAATTCTGAAAACCATAATCCCAGTAATCACATTTTTTTTGGCATGATCAATATAAAAATCCATATGATGATGAACTTCTTCAGTGTTTACTATAGGCAAGGAACCCTGTATAGTAGCATTTTTACATACATCTACTGCTCAAGATTATTTTTCCTGGTTTTGCTCAAGAAGTTAGCTTCAACCTATACAAAAGATTTTAGCTTTTTTATATTGTAAAGCTAATCTACTATATTTTTAATTCTTAACTTACAATTCAGCTTCTCTTTGTCCCAGAATAGATGTTGTATTGAGGATCCTAAATGGTATTTGATCGGTGAATTTATAAGTTGTAATATCAGTATGACTGCCACATTATTTTTTAACATTTTAGTATCCTGTAGGCAACATGGAAATCTAATAGTTTTGCAATGTCCTCCTTCTATTACTACAGCTAAGTGCATAGACTTTTAGTAGTAGAAAGTTTTAATTTGACATGGATACAGTTTAATACATGTATTTAAGTCATTCCAACAAAGAGATAATATTTTTATATTTATTTCGTCCCCTATATAATGTAGTATAATGGGGATAGTATTTTTTATCTTAACCATCCACCGCCCTGTCACATCTGTCTTGGGGTAAGATGTGGTTGTACAGATATTTGAAAAATATAGAGGGTGTGTGACAATATTATTTTTATTTAGGATTGTGTTGTGAATTTTTAGCAAAATAGTTGTTGCTGGATATATGATAATTCATAGCAGTCAATAGTCTTCATTATGAAATAAAAAGAAAACTATCACAGTATTGCTTATCTAAGTAGGCTTAATAGGTACTTTTAAGTTATAATTACAGAATCATTCTATTAAAAATTACCTAAAGGTACATATTACAGTGTTAGTTTTGTCAA